GACGTCATCCGACTTAGATGCAGATAACTGTAGATAGAATTATACACAAATGTGGATGTGGGCCTAATAAAAGTGGTGTTATTTATCGCATAAACTCATCATCATCATGTAGCAGGTCCTTTGCAGAAACGTCGCTCTCATCACGGTCTGCCGCATTAACTACTCAAGTAAAAGTGCCACAGAAATGGAGGCTCTTTATCTTTTATTCACCAGAAACAAGGGGATTCTATAGTTCACCTGAAAGTCCAATATTATAGGGGTGTTAGGTTAGGGTTAGCCGGTGTTCATTTCAGAACGTAACACCCCACACAATGCTGAACTTTCCAGGCAACTCCGGGATTTCTCGTCTCTATGGTGTATTAAAAAAAATAAAGAACCGAAATGGAGTTTGTATTTTTCCCGTGCTGGTGTTGGGTTGAAAAAAAGGGGGGGGGGGGGAGAGATGGATCCACTGCCTTCCTATTAAGCATGTCGTTAAAGGCGAGGGAATTTTTCTCCGAAGCCGGATCTTATCTCCCTCAAAGGCGAGGAACCAACAGGCTGCTAACATTTAGGCAGATCTGTAAAACGGATTTGCACACAACGTGAACTTGTGGAACAAGATCAAAGATTAACAACCTATATTTTCACAGTGGGCGAAGAACAGCCATTCAAAACAAAAAATACTAATAATAAAAACCATAAGTAGTTGTTATCGAAGGGATTACGCAGGATACAACGGAATGGAAAGATAGACTGAGAGCCCTATGTGACAAATAAATACACAACAGGACATTGATGATAATGTTGCTGTGTGGTATTGCGCATTTAAACAAAGTTTAAGCCTTCTTAGGGCCCGTGTCTTTCTGTTGAACTGTCTCTCTCTCTCCTGCTAGGCCTGAAAGAAACATGAGCTATTTGAGTGCCTGGAAATAGAATATTGTTGCACTAAAGAGCAATTCAAGCCTGTTAGCAGATAAACAACTCTTGACTACACAGAAATAAGAATATCGATTTGGATTGCAAGGCTGTTAGAATTGATGAGACTACACAGTTGGCTGAAGAAGACCAGGTTTCTCTTGAGTCGTGTTAGCTGTAAAATTGTCTATCTTGGCTGTACACACCGGGACACGATGGAGTGAAAGAAAATGAGCGAGCTGAAAGACTGGCCGTGTCTGCGGTGGCTGGTGGAGGAATAAGTAATCAGGGGACGGACATACTGAATGCAAGTCAGTTAGTTCATGGTTAGGGACATCAGGAAGGGAATGAGAATGAAGGAAGAAATGATAAAAGATAGGATGAGAGCTGAGCGTCTGAGAAGAAACAGACTAAACACAACTGTTGACAATGGTCCTGAAATCCCATGCTGTAGTTGTGGAAGACTTTTCTTAACACGGTCTTGCTAGTCACACTCGCCGTCGCCATGGGCTGTCAGTTCCCATGCCTCCTCATAGCGCAACATAATGCTACCATTTGGAAAGATGGACAAGTGCCAGTCAGTTAGTTCATCGACAGATTATCCTCATTGCACATCGGACCAGTCCATAAGCGCTCAGATCCCATCTTCAGTATCTCCCTCAGCGCGTGGCGACTGATAACACCAGACTGTGTTGGTTTACTGTTCTTCTTTGGCTACCTGTATAGTGTTCATGTCTGGAAATATCTCTTTTGACCTGAAGTTCTTGTCATCTTTTGAATATTGTTGACTCAGTGTCGTCTTCTGAATTCACTTCTCGTCCTACCTTCTTGTGATCCCCGAGAACATCTGCCCGGTCCATTGCTTGTCCCATACCTACTGTAACCCAGCCAGCAAGCCAGTCCGCTCGTTCATTCCCTCTTACTCCCAGAGTGCCCTGGTACAAAAATGAAACTTATTCCTGCCAGTCACGATTTCCTCAGTAACTCCAACCATTGTCTTCGAACTTATCCTGTCTCGATCTTCTTAAGCAAGCTCACGGAATCAGAAAGCACGTCTGGGGAAAAATGATGTGACTAACTACAGCATTGCTTTTGTTGGGTACATTGAGCACTGAGATTCTTCCTGTCATCCCTATCTGGGATGACATTTTGTTGTTGTTGAAGTCCGACCTTAGCTCTTGCCAGGGTTTGCAATATAGCTCTGCAATAAATATGGTGTAATGGCTGAACGCGGTTCCTGGGACCTCTCCACGGTAGATCCACATGGTGGCACATTGTGTCATCGGGTGCTTATCGCTTGTGTGATGTCCTAGTGGGGTACAATGTATGGTAAATTTTACACTGGTCTCCTCATTTACACACTGCTACACACTAGCTCGATTCTGATTGGACGACCTACTGACCACCTCACTATTGATAGGTCGGCCTCAAACGATCCGCGTTTCCCACAAGGTCACTGGGATATTCCACACTCGCGCTCATACCACGTGTTGTATTTTTCACCATGCCAGATCTTATAACACTTCTAAAACATTTAGATACTGGGTCTAACACACAACTCCCCTAAATAGTTCCAAAACGTATGTCCCAGGCCGTATCTTTCTCGGAAATAAAAACGTAAATCCCAGACAACAATAGACTGCAACACCCATAACCTTGACCACCGTAGACTAGTCCAACCAACTTATCGATGGAGTTGATCTACAACCGGTGTGTGTAAATGGGAAGACCATCGACCATCGTATAAATAACCAAATGGACTACTACTACTAGCCCTGAGACAGCCACAGCGAAGTAAATAGAGTACCAATGTGTTAGCCTGGCGATACGGACGACCAGTAAAAAAAAATATTTCCGACTACTTTTAAAGTCATAGAGGCTAGACGCTCGCCTGGTGATCGGCAGACTGTGGGTTCCCTCCCTGGCAAAGCCGAACTTTAAAAAAAATATAACCTTGGCTCCCAGGTCGACCCAGCCTTGAGTGGGTACCGGATGCAGTCCTGGGAAGTAAAGGTGGCCAGCGTGATGCTGACCACATCATCCATCTTGTACTATTGGTCAATAAAATGTTTGTCTAGTCCTATATGTCGGCTTTGTGGCAAGGTCGATGCAAACGCTTCGTAATGCAGGGAGGCCGGGTTCGATCCGAGCCTTGCGTTGGTTTCGATAGTTGAATCAAGAAAGCCGACCGTCCAGCGAGCAATGGCAAACTACTGTACGTAAAATTGCCTAGAAAAACCACACAACAGCCGGGGGCTGTTGGGGTTGGTTCTGCAACGTCCTGTAAAGGATAAGCAACTAACCTAGCCCTATTTACCCAATACATGAAAAACGTAGGAAAAGGTCCTTTACTTTACTACTTTTAGCTTTAGGGGTTACTTCTCCCACTCCCTTAAACAATCATGCTACAATCAATCAGTAAATCAAATAGCAGCGGGACAATCAACTTCGCAGCAGACCAACATTCACTAGCTCTGAGTAAACACTCTCTGAGACTCCTGTTGGTCCATCGCTGGATAAAATACCCCCCTTTATATCGTCGTCTACCTCTTGCTAGTTTGCCTTTAACTGTTCATCCAGTATAGTTTTCAGATTGAAAGAAACAAACATCCGATGCAGTAAAGAAAACCATCTATAAGGATAGCCCCCCCCCCCCCCCCCTCATCCCCCTTACAGTATAAAACAATCCCGATGAGCACATAAGAAAAGTCTCAAACATAACATATTCATTCTTCGTCTATGCTTCTTGTGCCAGACATGGCCAATCACTTCTTCTTCTTCTTCTTCTTCTTCTTCTTCTTCTTCTTCTTCTTCTTCTTCTTCTTCTTCTTCTTCTTCTTCTTCTTCTTCAGCATTCTGAGCCCAAAAGGTTCATTGCTGCAGATATCACCCGCCTCCGTTCATCTCTCTGGTTGGCCTTCTGTTTCCAATTGGTGACACCAAGTGTTTGCAGGTCTGTCTGGATATTATCTTTTCGTAGTCTTTTTAGTCTGCCTCGTGGTCTACGACCATTCATTTTCCTCGTGTAAACAGTTTTTAGTTCTCTGTCATCTGACATTCTTTTAATATGCCCCAACCATTTCAGTTTATTTGCCATCATGATGCCAGTGATAAATAGTGATTAAAACAGATTATGAATGTTGTTGTTGCTTCTCAATGGTCAATCACAGCTCATAAAAAACATTAACTACAGAAATGAGAAGGGCTTCCCGGATGAGCAGAAGTGATAAAATTAGGAATGAGGTCATACAAGAAAATGTGGACACAGAACCGATTCTAAATTACACACAAAGTCAGCAAATCAAACGGCTTTTCTAGTTAGACATTATGCCGTGTAGCGCCAAAATATTGTAAGGCATACACAACCAGAAAAGAAGGGTGAAGAGCACGACGTTGACCAAGAACAAGATGGAAAAATAACATCTAAGAAACTTCACACCAGCACCATGAAGCATGAATGAAAGGTTAACTAGTGTGCAATTGGGTCGGACTTAGAAAATTGATCCGGTTTCAGATATTCCTTGCAAAGCTCACAACTAGTAGGGATTAGAAATGTCTGGTCAACCACTAGCATCAACAATTATAAGACAGAGCATATCGCACTATATTTGACACATTCAGAGAAGAAGCGAGCAGAGAGAATCAACAAACAGGCATTGAAATGGGAAATTAAAAGGAGACCGAGTAAACTAGGACGTCCAAGAAAAATTCGAAAGCGAACAATGACGAAAGAAACCAAGGATCAGGAGATGGACGACAGCAGTCTGAGAGAGTGTACAGTATGGATAACATACGGAGCGTGCTGGAGATCCATTGCAGTCAACTGTGACTGTGGAGACGGCGCTTGGTTGATTGACTGAGGCTGTAGTACCGCAGCACTTGTCAAATATGGTTCTCTGACCTTGACACAGGCAGTCAAGCACACTTCTCTGACAGCATTCACCATTTTGGCTGTGTCTTTGCACTCAACCTTGCGATAATTCCCATTACCACATGCGCTGACCTAGAAAACCAGACTTTCGGTTCGGTTATTCACACATTCGGCTCACTGGCTTTTCTGAGAGAAGGACATCGATTTAATTTAAATTGTGATATTCAGTCAA